TAGGGAAAAAAAATTAATCCCTTGATTCGGCCAGACCTATTATTATATTATTGACTTATTGAAAAAGACTTGAGTGCCCTTCTTTAAGTAAGAGGCACTCGAACTAACATAACAGTACACATCAGCATTCTCAACAAGTACAAAGACTGAAATACCCCTTCACTAACACCACTAACAACCTTAAATAGAGATTATTAGTTTGCCAGTCCCTTTATCCGGAGACTTACACTTGGCTCCACATTATGCCAAAGCTAGATTCAAAGCATCTTAAAATATCCATGTCAAACACAAGCAAATATCTCCATCTTCAAGAAACCAAATAGACATGATCCTATATGAAAAATATTTGTGTCAAAGGAAAAGTAGGAAGATCAATAAATGCCTTGTACAGTAAATGAATCAGGTGCCATCATAGTGGGTCCAACCAAGAAGATTCCTTACGCCAAATAATTGGATAACCATGCAGCATATGGTTTCCAGACATCAAAGTAATATATATATATCAGATACTTGGGAACATCCAGCGGTTTTTCTGTTACATCTCCTGGGCGGATCAAACAAAGTGCTATCTTGAAGCCCCACTCCAAACCCATGTATATGGTTATCTTTTGAGAGGTATATATCAATAGGTCATTCACCATCAAATGTTTTCCATTACTTACTAGCCAGTTTTTTTTAACTTTTTTCTTGGGTCCTCTTTCTTCTGGCAGGCAAAAAGATAGTGGGTGAAGCTGGATTCCCAAACTACGTTATGAATATTCACAGACTTTTACCAGCTAAGCAATTAAAAAGTAATATAATTGGCAAGAAGACTGAAGAGAGAGCAGTCGCATAAATAGATCCCTTCTGCTACCACATATATTCAGTTTTTAAAGAAAAATACCAGTTGCCAAGAAATGATGCTTTGCCGGATCCAGCAAAGTTTACCTGTTCAAGTCTGGTCTGCCTAGCAAGGTCACACAAGGAATGTAAAAGCCGCAAACCTTGTAACATGTATCTCAAGTAGATATCTCCTCGATCACGTGAAAGAAGAACCGCAAGAAGGTGCATAGGGAGAGATGAAGCAAGTTTTTCCATATCAATCTGAAACAAGTATTTTGTGACGCTACCATTTAAATAAGCACAAAAGAATCAAAAGTAACAAATCCTAGAAAAAAGGATCACCTGAACCAATAATCCTTTTTCAGTATGACGATGCAGAGTAAAATTTTCAGAGTCCCTCAACAGCTTACTAAGCTCCTGAGAGCTAAGTCCATTTAACTCTTCAACTGCTGAATTTAGGTCAATGGCCTATCCAAACAAACAGCAAAGTGTATTTATGTAGATTCGCAAGAAAGAGAAGAGAAAATAAAGCCAGGTAAAATATAAATGAATCAAAGAAAAACCCATCTTGTCTAGAGAAAAGGCAATTATTTTAAACCAAGAAATCTTCGAAGTTTATATAAGAAGCAACCAAGAGTAATAATCGACACATTAACTACTAAAAAAATCCATCAATACAGACACTTTATTGAACAACCTAAAATGCCAGAATGCTATAACTTGCTTACTGATTGGAGGGTAGAGAAGAAGCATATCAGTAGCAGACCTAATAGGCCTATGCATGCCCCAATTTGCCTGTGCTTTAGGTATATTTTGTACATTTTCCTTCTTTTATCACTCTTTTTATTTGTTTTAAAACTTCATTGAACAGCCTAAAAGGCCAGAATGCTACAACTTGCTTACTGACTGGAGGGTAGGGAAGAAGCATATCAGTAGCAGACCTAATAAGCCTCTGCTTGCCCCAATTTGCCTGTGCTTTAGGTACATTTCTTTTACCACTTTTTATTTGCTTTGCAATTTAAGACTAAGATGACATATGTGCAGCTATAATTTTTAGCTATACTATGGAAATAAAATTTTGTTTTGGAAAGATTTTTGGGGTTGGGAATGTGATGTTGAAAGACCTTTACCCTACTTTGTACTCCATCTCCTTGTTCAAAAAGGAGCCAATCATCAAGTTTGTTTCTTCCCTCTCTCCTACTCTCAGTCTCCTTTCTGCTTCACCTACATCAATTTCTTGAATCCTTTTAGCAATCCACCCCTTTGTTTCTTCCAGTCTTCCAAACTCCTCTTTATTCCAAGCCTTAATCCTGGCTTTCAAATATTGTAATTTTTATTAAAATCTGTACCCTTTCCATCTAAAAACCAATGATCCTCTTCCCACCATTCTTTCACTTTCTTTAAAAAGTCAGGATGAAGCAACCACATGTTCTCAAACCTAAATATGCACAGTCCCCCTCTTACGTTTTCTTCGTAAAGTCTAGGAAGGATCCTCACCACCAAGCATTCTCCCAATCTTAAGAGAATAAGAATCTATCCAATTTACAACACAGGAGTTCATCTTGAAAATTGGACCAAGTGAAATTTGCTTGCAACATTGGCAACTCTCTCAAATCAAAGGAGTCCACAAAAAGATAAAAACTTTCTCATGCTAGAGATAACCCTATAATTGGGACTGTTTGTTTCATTTATGAATCTGATGACATTAAAAGTCACCCCCCAGACACCAAGGGCCATTCCAGAGACTCATGGCTGCTAACTCCTCCCACAATTTCTCCCTTTCCCTATACAAATTTGGTCAATAGACATTGGTTAAGGCCCATACTAGTCCATCCTCTTTCCTCCTTAATTTAATTGTAACCGTAAAGTTATCAATTAGTTTTTTCTGTACATTCCATCTCCTCAGTTTTCCAAATTGTAACTATTCCCCATGAAGCCCCCAAGATTGTGCATAGGTCCAAGTTAGGCCTCTGGGTGACCACACACTCCTCACCCACCTTCTATCCAATTCTGTCAATTTCAATTCCCAGATTAACACAATATCTGGTTTTCGTTTCTGAAGACTTCCCTAATTACCCCCTATTTTCCTTGAACTCCCCAATCCCCTTACATTCCAACTGATTACATAGGAACACTCAAAACAATGCCCATGAGGTCTACCATTTATTAACCCAGTTTTCTTTCTTTCCTCCCTGTGCACCCTTTTTCATAATCCACTTCAAAGTTCACAGCTAAGCCTCTCCACCTCACTCATCTTCTTTTTTCTCCTCTTTGGTGTCTCTCCTTGTTAGGAGTTTTTCCTTGGTCCAAGATTAACTCTTTTTTCTGGTGCTTGTTTCTATTCTCTCTTTGATTTTTTTAGCTCCAGCAAATTCCCCTCTAACATCACCTACCATTTTCCCTGGAAGGAGGAATTGGAATATCACCCTCCTTTTCCTCTCCACACCTGAAGTCTAACTCCACCTCCACCAACTGCTCAAAAAGTTGCAAGATTAGCTCCAAAATTCTCTTCCCTTCCTCCAAGCCTTCTAGAGTCTCAATGTCCCCTAAGACTTCTGTTACTTTCATCAAATCACTGGAAATAGCAGCTTCTAGACAAGTAGAATAACATGCAAGATGGACAGCAACAAGTAAAGGGGAGGGGGGAATTAGGCAAAGCACAAACAAGAAATAAAGAAGTTTGTCACACCATACCAAACACAAGGAAATTTTTAGGAAAATCAGACCCAAAATAGGGTAAAGTCTGTAGATTTACTTGCTAAGGGGGGAGAAATCAAAACCAAGCTACGGACACCCTGTCTCTGTCTTGGACTCAAGATAGGATTTACTCTGCCTTTGGTCGAGAAGCTTGCCTCCTCCGGAGGTGAGTCTTCCGGATCAAGACTCTTCTAAGGTTCCAAAGAATTGCCTGCTAGGGGCGGTGAAGAACTGTAAAAAAGTAATGTTGTTCCAGGATCCACTTCCACCAAGAATCGCTTTCCCTATCTATTCTCAACACTACCAATGTTGGACTTACCAAACTCTTCCTCATTGGTTTTCTCCTCTTCAAAGTTAACCCACTATGAGTTAGACTAATCATCTTCTTCATCTCATCTCCTACCATACCTTTGGTTCGGACGATCAAGGCAAGTGGAGTAGGAAACCAACCTCGGTCTCCAAGCAAGCTTTGTTGTAGCATTCTCAATCGAGCAGGTCTTCTTTGAACCAATGGATTATCACCTGATTCTTTTGTTTTAAGTTCATTATTTTTTTTTTCAAGTTTATAATGATATTTACCTTTTTATTTTCCTTTATGAAATATTTTTAGTTATACATAATAAAACATAGTTGATGTTTTAAGATTTGACTCTTAGGAAAGGATAAGTAATATAATAGCATAAGTTGCATGCTCATACATCTGTCTGATATCCGAGGGTCCACAACGAAATAATGAGAGTTGTTGGGCCTTGTCCAACTCTTTAGCCATCAGTCAGTCTATGTCTCAGGTGAGGTTGAGCCAGAAGGAAGAGATATTTCAGCGAGAAAAATCAGAGATGGGAAGGTGGATTCTAAAGTTGCTGAGTGTCTCTATAGTTGGAAAAAGAATTTCCCAAAGGAGAAGACATGATTAGAGAAGTTGATGGTAAAAGGAAGGAAATATCAAAGGAARAAAAATGGGAGGGAAGAGAGAACAGTTTGGGGAAGAAAATACATGGAGAAAGGGGAGCGAGGGGCAACTTCCAAAAAGGGTCAGAGTTGGTAGATGCTGATCTCAAGGGTGGTAGTGAAGCAGTAGATAAAATGTTGGAAAAAATGAAAAGGAAGGAAAGTCATTGTCAAGAGTTACAGAAGAAAACAAAAATATAGAACTAGACCTCTACGAGATAATGAAGAGTTAGGCGATGAGGATGGTGCAACTTTGGCTACAGAGGAGGAAGAGATAGTTATAGATGAGGCTCACGAAGTTGAGAGAGTAGTGGATATGGAATTGGTGCTGAACAAAGAGGTGAAAATTAGTAAAACCTTGAGTTCTGGTGTAGACCCATTCCACCCAAAGTAAGAGTGTTTGTGTTGGGAAGTAGTGCATGGGAAGATTAATACTTTGAATATGTTACAAAAGAGAATGCCTAATTCTTGTCTCTCTCCTAACTGCTGTATCTTATGTAAATCCAATACTGACAGTTGYCATCACTTACTGATCTCTTGTCCCTTTGTTATGGAGATTTGGCTTCGGTTTTTCTCTTTGATTGGGTGTAGGTGGACTTCATCATCAGAGGTCAACATGCTTTTCGATCCTTCCATGTTTATGCTGAGGGGATGAACAATGTGGAGATGTGTTAGAGCTGCCTTGGTGTAGACTATCTAGGAAGAGAGGAATGCTAGAATATTCTTAGAAAAAGAGAGGAGCAAAGAAGCTGTTAGGGATTGTATAATGGTCAGGGTGATCCATTGGATAAAGACTGTGGAATTGTTCTCCCAATTCTCCTTTGATGATGTTTGGAGGAACTGGGAAGCAATTGCCAAAAGTTCCTCTAGAAAGGAAAGTGTGGAGATGCATTGGATACCTCCAATGGAAGGCTTTGTGAAACTGAACTTTGACGGGAGCAGTCAAGGTAATCCAGGCCCATCTGGTATAGGAGGGGTATTGAGAGACTCAAAAGGTAAAATTGTAGCTTTATTCTCAGGCCCCGTGGGCTTGGGTGACTCTCTCAAAGCAGAGTTGCTTGCAGCAGTACAAGGAGTGCAGGTTGCAAATGGATTACAGTCTCAACTAAGATGACCTCAAGTCCCTTATTGAATCCTCCCCCTCATGGCTTCATCAAGCTGAATTTCGATGGTAGCAGTTTGGGAAATCCAGGGTGTTCTGGCATTGGGGGCGTTCTAAGGAATGAACAAGGCAATATAATAACCATGTTTTCTGGTCCAATTGGAATGGGAGACTCCCTTAGGGCTGAGGTAATGTTGGCCTTGGAAGGGATTAAAAGAGCTAGGGACCTGAGTATCTGTATTGGTCATAGAAGGAGATTCTGAGATAGTAGTGGACTGGTCGAAGGAGGACAAGATCGGTCTCTGGAACTACAGCAATGAGAAGAGAAAGTTTAAGTGCCTAACAAAGGACATTGATATAAAATGTATTTGGGTAAAGAGAACTAGAGAAGTACCAATTCCTTTGCTGATGGACTAGCTAGGCAAGGGGWGCATAGGGATTCTATTTTCTGGGCTCATTTGTAAATGTTTTCTCTTTCTTTTGAATGTTTTTCTGCTCCCTTGGGGAGTTAAGATAGTTTATCTCCCCTCCAT